CCCTCCTTCCCTAGGTCTTACCACAGTCTCTGAACACATTGCACGAACGGGGCACGAAATCGACTGGAAATCGACCGAAAGGTTTGCTGCATGTGGTGAAAATACGAGAAAACGCAAGATCCTAGAGGCCATCGAAATACTGACCGAGAGAAATCTAATGAACAGGAGACTTGAAGAAGGCAAGATCAGCGAAAACTTTGCATATTGCCTCAACAAACTCGGAGAAGACAAGGCCACAGCAAGATCAGCAAAAAGAAGACGATTGGATTAAGGTACTATCCTTAATTTTAGGAAAATAGATAGCAGGGAGATGAGAAAGGAACAATCAGAAGCTAAGAGGAGACATCTTCAGTGAGCCTAATCAAAAAAAGTAGAACTACAACATTTGTGAGTTGGCACACGAGAGACTAGGACGCAGGATGTAATGGACAGGGTATCACAGATAGAAATAGGAAAGACGTGGTGGAGACTAAAGCTATTTGACTAGAAAAAGTCGTGTTTGATCATAGAAGTGATTCTTGAATCACGACTATTGTTAGCCAACTAGCTTTAGCTTCCACTGTTTCTATCCTCTTTCTATCTATCATACCAAGTCTATGATTTGCTATGCACTAGTCTCTTGTGTGCCAGCCCACAAACGTTGTGGTTCAACATCGAACCTAATCCAAGCCAGCAGTACCACAACCTTTGTGGGTTGGCACACAGAGACTAGGGCATGACAAGTCATAGACTTGGTATTAGAAATATAAACAGGATAGACACGGCGTCGATTGGAGCTAGTGGACTGATAGTAGGTTTTATAAGAGACGTGGTCCATGTGGCAAAAGCGTGACCATGAGACTTATTCAGAGGCTTTAGCCTCGAATTAGTCGCCCAGACGCAGGGGAGGGCGAATAACGCCTCAAGTAGCACAGAAATATGTGAACCAGGGAGAGGGCAGACGGATATTAGGGGACAAGAGAGAGACTGTGGTAAGACCTAGGGAAGGAGAACTGCGTAAGAATATGGCAGACTCTGATGAACATTCCCAGCACAAGGATGAAGGGGGGTGAGAAGGCCAGAGTGGAGTGCGGACGGTTCTCATGTAAGCCGCTCAAAAGGACACACCGTACCACATTTAATTAAGCAAGTAAAAATTGTGACAGTAAAGAGGTGCTCTAATCATATAGAATAGGTGAAAAGACCAAACAGAAGAGGAGATACTGCAATTATTTCTCAGACAATTGGTTAAACGATTGACTTCACTTGTCTCTTTTGACGAGTTGTGATGTGATCCTAAGAATTTTAAGGCTCACTGACCATGCTGGCGAAACATCTCGGAATGTACTACGTCCATGGTCTGACTCTAAATTATCATGCATACTATGGACTTTGGACAAGGTGCGTTCCTCTAGGTTTTCCTGACAATATGGTCAAGCTGCGAAAACAAGGTCAAACAACTTTTGTACAACAAAAGGGGATCGCGACTACACCATCTTAGTCTTCATGCTCTTCAGTGTTATTATCTAGACCAGTTATTCCCAAACTATGCGCCGCAGCGCCTTGGGGAGCCGCGGCCTCTTTACATGGGCGCCGCGAAATATTGCAAAAGCTTCAATTTGAGAAAATTTGCAGTCATTTTCAGGCTCATCCATCACATTAATTATTAAATAATAATTTAATGTTGATAAAATAAATAAAAAAATGAAGATACACGAGTTTTATTTATTTTTATCTCTTACGAATATTCAAACTTAGGGTGGGGCCCTATGGAAAAAAATTAATTCAAAAAGGGTGCCGCGACTAGGAAAAGTTTAGGAACCACTGATGTAGACCAATCTTTTATCATTCTTGTCAGGACCTCGAGTATGGGCAATGTTGCTATGATCTTAAGCCTTAAGGAGCTTGGCGTAGAACGGTCAAAATAGGTTTGCATTACAATTTTATTGTCTAAATTAGACTATGTTTAGATATAGTTGGGAGTACATTGAATTTTTGTTTTACGAAAAGTAAATACTGCAAACTATTTTGTTACATTTTTCTGATTTATGTGCCTTATTCCAACTGAACTCTACCTATTCAGCACAATATAATTATTCGCCTCATGAATGGCTCCTGGCTGTTGCTTTTTCCCGCAAATGGATCTGGAAGAGCCTTACTAAAGCGATTCTGTCTCAGATCCTGCTGCAAAACTTCTTCAACAAGTCATCCTACCTCAAATTTTGTCTCTACAACAATGGCTGCTTCGTCATCTGCCTCCTCAGCGTCTGTAGAAGCACCTGTATGTCCAGTTCACACAGAGACGAGTATTCCTCTAAATGAGACCTTGAATGATGCCTGGATAGACAATTGTGCAGATGAGCTTCCTATCTCCTGGGGTCGAGAGCATCTTTCCAGTGCAGCAGCCGTTTGCCTACTCGCATTATCCATGGTGGTTGCGGGCTCGGGCAGTTTGGTGGTTCTGCGGCTTGTCAGGCAACTGCGGGCCATACACCTGTTTGTGGGCTCTGGAAAGAATACGGTCTGTGACTTGTTTTCATATCCTATTAATTTTTTTATAACTACTTAGATACTATCTGTTGAAAGTTATTCGGGAAAGCTACTTAGAGTTGTCTAGTTTACCGTACACCTTAACCTGGACAAAGATCAAAACTATCGTTCTTTCGCTTTTTCGGTGCATACGTTCCTGCTTGCCTTGCATTCAAGCTAGCAAAACTAATGAGTGACAAACCCCTGCTATCTTCAGTTAGCATGACTTAGGATTTTGCGATTGATGGAGGTTTAGTAATACGTTTATTATTATATCACTAGAAGTCCTAAATTTTCTCAGATTATTTTCGATCGCCCTAGTAATTTTGCCAAAAATCATTCAAAAAACACAAACGAATAAATATTTGTGAAATATATATTTTCAAGAAGTGG